TTTGAAAAATTTTAAAATTACTTCGGAATTTTGCAAATCTCTGAAAAAATTTTGAATGGCCTGAAATTAAAATCAGGCCTGAAACTATTTTCACTGAATTTTTATGAATATTTCATCTGAAAAATGGAAAAATTGAATGAAATTTCACTAACCACCCAAATAATTTACTGCCAGTCGAGCGGACACAGCAGTCGTCGTTATACAACGTCGGTCTCCTGCCACACATCCCGTAAAATAGACCAAATAAAAAGTAAACCGCTATCAGAGCGTACACACCCGATAGAGCCAATACAGCAAACCAACTGAAATTTTTTATTTATTCACGAAAATATATCGAATCCGAAGTAATTTGACTGCAATTTTAAAATCAGATTCAATTCAATAGTAATTCATGTGATTTGGTGTAGAAACATGCAATAACAATAATAAAAAATAATAATAATGTTAAAAATTATATATATCATAGTGCTGAGCGAAACAGAAAAATATCTGATCAATTAACTTCATTAAAAATATGAATAATAAAATATGAATAATAATAGAATAATAATAACAATATGAATAATAAAAAATAATAATAAAAATGTTAAAAATAATATATATCATAGTGCTGAGCGAAACAGAAAAATATCTGATCAATTAACTTCATTAAAAATATGAATAATAAAATATGAATAATAATAGAATAATAATAACAATATGAATAATAAAAAATAATAATAAAAATGTTAAAAATAATATATATCATAGTGCTGAGCGAAAGAGAAAAATATTTGATCAATTAACTTCATTAAAAAATATGAATAATAAAATATGAATAATAATAGAATAATAATAATAACAATAAGAATAATAAATAATAATAATAAAAATGTTAAAAATAATATATATCATAGTGCTGGGCGCAGTGACACTGCTAACAAATCAAATAACAAATGCACTCACCTGTATTCCACATATCTGGCATAATCCACGTGATCACTATTGAAGGTCCGTTCCATCGATTGCTTGAAACCATCGAAATCGATATCTCTCAACTCAACGGAAATCGTTTCCGATACACCGTACAGATCATCACCGATCTGCTTTAGCATGGTCTGGGCGGCTGCAAAAATATTTTTGAGATTAATATTTTTATCATAAAATGGAAAAAAATGAAAAAATACCATTGGAAAATGAAAACTGCCATTGGAAAAGTAAAAAATAATTGGAATTCTGGTGGAAAATATGGTCGAAAAGGAATTTTTCATAAAAATAAATGGGAGAACGCACCGTATCGATTGTGATCGATTTCGGCCTGCAATTCCTTCTCGATATCGTGCAGATCACCGTCATCAGCGTAAAAATTTGCACTCAACTGCGTTAAATTTGAAGCCGTTACGCGATCCAGCTCGTAGAATATCCGTTCGGGAAGGATTTTCTGCAAAAAATTGCCCGAAATTCGAGAAATCTTCCCGTAAAACCACGTAAAAATACCCAAATCACTAGAATCTTCATACAAACTCTCAAAATTCTGTCAATTTTCCCTCATTAAAACCCCAAATTTCCATGACAAATCACCCAGTCGTCCATTCTCCCGTCTAAATTTACGCCTCAAATCTCAAATTCTAAATCAATCTATCGAATCCAGACCGATTTCACGTAGAATCACGTAGCTCACGTCAATTGTTCTCACGTAAATCACCCAGATCACCATCAATCAATAACGATCAAATCAAAAAAACCAACCTCAGCGATCACCAAATCACTGATCGGTAATGCCTGATCAATACTGTTCAATAAGTTCTCTACTTTCCCACAAATATTCCCGATAATATCATCACCACCATTGTTATTTGAACACGTCGACTGCAGTTCATCGAGAGAAGTACGTCGCAGTTTCGTGAAATCGATCCGGAATTTTTTAAATTCAATATTTAACGAGTCGATTTCATCTCGCGCATCTCGAATCAGTTGCTTCAGCTCGATGGCAGCTAAAATTTACGATAAAACTCGAATCATGCCTGGATTAAGACAGGAACACACGAATCTTGCCATCAACATTTGACAAAATTGTATTGTCTTTGACAAAAATGACAAAAAACTTTTGACAAATTTGACATCATTTGACAAAAGCCGATTGTTTTCACGTAATCTGACATGGCCGCACGTAAAATTTCAAGTAAAACATGAAGTTGGCCACTTGAAACTTAGAAAATCTTCACGTAAAATGTCAAATTTCCTTTTTCAGTTTCTTTTTTGGGATGTGATTTCAGAGTGATTCAATTTTATTCACTAAATTCACTGGATAAATCAAATTCTCGTCAAATCAACTAACTTTTTGAGGTGTTCCGGAGCTGTTCCACGGCTTGCACACCCCCGGTGAGCTGCCCGAGCCGTTGAATCAGCCAACTGCCCGCATTCGATACGTTATTCTCCAAAGATATATTCAGCTTTTGAAAATCATCCACGAGTAAACGTCGAATCTGCTGAAATTTTAGAGATTTTCAGCAATTTAAACCAAGTTTTCAGATTTCTCCAGTGATAAACTAGAGATATCATTTAATAACCGTGATCAGAACCGATCAGATCAGATCAGTTGCTGATCATTGAAATGATAAGAGAGTGATAAGAAACCTTATCAGTGGTTCGTTTATAGAGTAGCAGATCATCGTAGCACAAGCTCAACCGATGCGGCAGCTGAGTGGCTCCGTATTCAGCGTATTGACTGCTGATCAGAAGTGAGGCGATAGCGAATCTAAATTCATCAACTGATAATGAACTGATAACAACTGATAGTAGTGATAAGAACTGATAAAGAATAATTGATCAATCAAGCAGCACTAACATATTGATAACAATAAAGAGCGTGATGATCAAATTGAGACAACGTCTTCCGCAACTGTCGAATCTCGAATCTGATAACGGCTTATCACCGTTATCAGTGAGGTGA